CAAAAATATATATATTTAAAAGAGTAATAAAATTATAGTTATTTTTCTCCCTTCTTATATAGAATATAAAACTATAAAAAATTTAAACTTTTTTCTAATTATAATTAAGAATAAACATTTGAATATATCCGAGTTATATGATTTATAAAATTTTTTTTTTAAGTTATGAATTTTCTTAAGAATTTTATATCTACATATATTTTTTTAAATTATGACGAAGTAGCTATTCTAAATATATAAATAATTGAATTAATAATTTTTTATTTTTGCACATAAAGCATTTTATATGCGAACTATTTAACTATTAAATTAAATTATATAAATTAAAATATTTTTCTAAATACATTAATTGATGAACATTGAAAAATTTTGCTTTAAAAATTTATTTATTTCTTTCGAAAAACTAAAAATATTATTTTGTTGATTAAATTAAAAAAAAAAAAAAATAGATATTTAAATATTCTGAAATTTTTTTTTTTTTTAAATACCTAAATTTATACTATTCGAATAAGCTTTAGTTAAATATTATAAAACAATTTTATAGTATTGTTATATCATTTTTTGTTCATCTAATTTTCTTTTTTTTTAATTACTTTTTTTATAAGTTTATACGTTCAAATATTAAAATTATTCTTTTCGAAGTTTAATAATTTAATTTTTTTTATGTAGAAAAAAAATAGATTTAAAAATACAAAGAATTATTTAATTTTTTTTTAATAATATAGTAATACTATTTAGTCATAACCATTTAACTTTCAAGCTTTTTTATAATATATATATATATTTATATATAATGAAACATTTATTGAATATTTTTATAATATTTTTATTTTTTATTTTTTTCAATGAAATAAATGGGAAAGGAAGGAGAAATAAATTACCTCAACAAAAAAGTAATTAGAAGATATATGAAAATAAAAATTTGACTAATGTAAAACTATTAATATATATTTCACTTAGAAATATTTTACATTTGCATATTAAAACAATTTTTATAATTTTTTTTTTTTATTTTAAATAATTAAACAAAAAAAAATTCCATTATATTTTTCTACACTTTTGTTATTTTGAATTACACAGATTTATACAGGGATATAAATTTTAAAAATGATGATCATAAAAATAATACACAATTGTCTCTTTTACGAACTTTTCTCAAAACAAACGAAAAACTGAAAAAAATTGAAAAATCTAAAAGTAAACTTAGAAAAGGATGTATTCTCTTAGGTATTTCTTTAATTTTTCTTCTATTAAAAGATGGAATTTTATTCTATATGAAACATAGAAATAGTTGTTCAAGTAAGGAATAATTATAATTATAGGAATGAGAATTTATAATAAAAAAAAAATAGTAAAATTTTGAAATATCATCATGCTTTTAATTTTTTAACCTATTTTACATTTATTATTTTTTTTTTTTTTTTGTTTTTTGTTTTTATTAAATATTTTTTTTTGTATTTTTGATTTTCACCTAATATTTTATTAATATTTAACAAAAATAAGTGAATATGTGTAAATTTTTTAATGTATTTTGAAAAAATTTATGATTATATTTTAATTAGTTTTTACTATATCGAAAGAACTGCTAAAATATTTAAGTTGAAATTATTTCTTAGTGAGTTTAATAATCTTTAAATTAATTAAATTTTTGTTTGAAATAAAAAAAAAAAAATATAAAAACTTATGATGAAATTTAAATATTAAGATGAATAAATCGTCATTTAATATAAAAACAAGTATTATAAAAAAATAATTAAAAATTATTACATATAATAAAGAAATAAAACTTTTTAAAATTTCGGCGAATAAAAAATATATAGTAGTCATATGATTAAAGAGATTTATACAAAATTTATTTTTTATAAATATTGTAGTAAATATATTTTAGTTAGTTCACATAAAATATGAGAAAATATATTATATATGAAAATATTATAAGGAAACTTGAAAAAAAATATAATAAAAAAAATAATAAAATTAAAAAAGTTAATTTATTTTTTAGTATATGAAAATCATAAGTATAAAAAATATTACTATTTTTCATATTATAAGAAAAAATGTATATATAAAATTATCTAATTTCATATAATTTATATTAAATATACACACATATATATATAAGACAATGTATATAATTTGTTGCAATGTAACATAATTGAACAGAATATTTAACTTATCTGAAATTCATAGTAAATATTTTCTCTAAATGAAGAACATTATAGAAATTATTTATTTAATTTTAAAAAATTATTAAATAAAATTATACAGAAAAAATATTATGGATTTCTTTCTTAAGTATATTTAATGATAATATAAAGAATCTTCAGTGACTTAAAAAAAAAAAAAAAAAAAAAATTTAATAAATACTTTTTTAATGAATTTATATAATGGAAAAATCTTTTGGTATCAAAATACTAGTGAAGACATTAAAAAAAAAGAAAAATTAATCAAATATTATAATTATCAAAAATAGGCATAATAGAATATAAAATTAAGCTAATGTAAGATAAATAAAAATATACAAATGAATTTAGAAATATGTAAAAGGAATATTCAATTCAGTTGTTTATAACTATGTCATTAATTATACCAAATATTATTAATTCTATCTTTTCATTAAGGTTAAACTCCATTTACCCCATTTTAATTAATGATATAAAAAAATATTATTTAGATCTAATTTATTATTACATACAAGTTAATATATTGAGACTTATTTTACCAAAATATTAGTATTATGGAAACTTCAACTAATGAAAAATGTTATTATTATAGTATTTCAATTTAATTAAAAATTTATTAAAACAAAACAAATATGTAAAATAAGAAGATGAGAAAAAAAAAAAAAAATGTGTTTATTGTTAAAAATATATGTCATAAATTTGATTAAAATTATGTTCTATTTCATTGAATATGACTAGATAGCTTTCAGTTACGTAATAATGACAATTTAGTATATATAAATAAAAAAGGAAATATAAATTAAAATTTTATATAAAATTATAATAATATTCTAAATCTAATAAATTTATTTCTGATTATTAAGAAATAAATGAAAATTGACGCGAAAATTGTACATATGAAAGGTCATAAAAATGAAACAAGTCTATGAAAGGATATATCATAATTCTTAAAAAATCAAAAGATATTTAGAAATTTTTAATTGTCTTTATTTCATATTAATTTTTTGTTTTTCTAAAGTGAAAAAAAAAATTTTATTTTTAAAATACTATTGTTATTTGTTTCTCAATAGTAATGACAATTATGTAGTCACTTTTTTATAATATATTATTTCTATTTAAAAAAAGAAAAAAATGAAATTATTTATTTTCGTTGTTTAATATGTATAATTAAAGTTAACACTCTTATTTAAATAACTTTTAAGCGATTATAAGTGGAATATAAAATAATTTTATTTAAAAAATTCTAAGTATGTGTATTTTTAACTAAGCATTACAAAGATTAGATTTTTCATAAAATGGAGATACGGAAAGATGCATTTTTAGTATTTTTAATTTTTTATATTAAATAGGAAAACATAAAATTTTTTATTAATAGATTTGAAATATATTCCTAATTCAATTTTTTCCAATTTTTTAATTAAAATTCATAAAAAGGATGATGTGATTTTACTATCTTAAAAAATATTGTAAAAACATAATGAATTTCTTTATATTATTTCATTTTTTTTAATATTTATTTTTTTATTATTATAATTTGTAAACACATGTTAAATTTACTCTTATAATATATATATCCCATTTTTTATTAAATTCTTAAATATCCTTTTCATATGTAAAGAATAAAAATAATTTTATTAATATTATAGTTTTTTATAAAAAAAAAAAAACATTATTTTTAATTTAAAATTTTAATATATTAATATTTAAATATTATTCGAAATTTTAAGGGATTTCATGGAATTAAATTTGTTATTAAAAAACCAATCATTTTAAATATTTATAAATATTTATTACATAATCATCGTAAAATATAAATTATTTGAAATGTTCAATTAAAAAATATTATAAATTATTATAAATTCTACAAAAAAATATATTTTTAAAATGAATAAAAAATTCATTTCATATTTAAAAAAAAATTATACTTTTCTTTTTCTTAATGTTTAATACTCTATTATATTTTACATTTTTTTTATATAAAATTAATATTTTCTTTGAAAAATATAAAAATATATTTTTTTAAAAAAAATTTTTTATTAAAATTAATTTTTTTTACAAACCACAATTGTTATATCAAAGAAGTAATAATTATTAATAATATCCTATTTTTAAATTTTATTGTCCGCCTTGAAACCTTTTTTTTTTTTGTTCTATATATTATATTAAAAATAATGTATTAATATAAAAAATGCAGAGATATTTATAAATTTTAATTTGAATTATAAATATTGAATTATAAATACTTAAATTTTAATATTTTTACTTTTATAAAAATTTAGTTAATAATAGATAATATAATACATGCATTAATGAAATATTATAGAAAAACTTAATTTTTTATGTTTTTTTCTTATTGAAAACATATTTTTATATTTTACTTTTATATGTTAAATATTTATTAATATATTCATTAGTTTTTAAAAAAACAAAAAAAGAAAAATTAAATTGTGATAAATATTATTAAAAAAAAAGGATATATAGTTAAATACATATTAAAATAATTATTTAATTTGAAGATGCTTATAGAATATATCCTAATATTTTTATAAAAAAAATTAATTTAAAAAAATAATAATAAATAAAATTTTGTTTTTTAATTATTATCATCTTATATTACTTTAACATGATTTTTTTTTTTTTTCTTAAATTTGATTCATTTATGTGACAAATAAAAATTATAGTTAAAAAGATAATTATAAATTATTATTATTTGTTGTTTTTTTAAAGACATTAAAAATTATTATTTATTTAAATACATATTCATTGTTAATCTTTGATCTATAATTTATTAATTCATTTATATTTTTTTTAGTTAAAATGAATATCTCAAAGATTTTTTATTTTTTTAATTTCTTGTTTATTGTAAATTTAATATTACCATGTTTATCCCAAAATAAAATTTCTAATGCAAATAACATGGATTCATTAGAACATGTTGATGCATTTTTAGAGAAAAGAAAAAAAAGAAAAAGAAATATAATTTTGTGTTCATTAATATTAACTGGCTTAATTACATCTGCTGCTATCGCATGTGGAGTTGGATGGTATATAAAAAAAAATAAAGATGATATATTTGAATATCCTGAATATCCTGAATTTTCTGAATTTCCTGATAATTTTTTCACACAACCTGATGGAGAAATGCCAGGTACTAGTCAAAGTGATATTACTACTGAGTCAGCTGTATCTAACATAAATAAAATAGATTTAAATAAACCATTAATTGAAAATAATAAACAAGAAGATATCTCTTTTAAAAAATTTAATGCATTTGTGGATAGTTCGAGATTAGCAATAAAGAATCTTTTTAATAGTTTAAATGATTTAGAAAAATCAGTTTTTATAGTAGATAAAGATTATATGAGAAAAGTCATTCAAAACTTAGAATCAAATAGAAATGTAGAACTTTCAAGAAAACAAGAAGATAAAGCAGTTCTAGAAATGGAATACTATTTACAAAAATTATATGCAAATTATTTAAGTGAAGCAATTCATACAAAAGGAGAAAAATAGAAATAATATATAGTGTGAAATTATTAATAAAAATATTTATTTCATTACATAAAGTAATATACTTTTTTTATTTTTAATAACAATGTAATATTTAAGTTGATCAAATAATTAAAATAATTATCCCCAATTACATAAAAATTATGATCATGAATAATAGAGATACAAAAGATAAAAGTTCGTAGTTATATGTAGTTATTCAATACAAAAAAGTAAAAAAAAAAAATTCATATATAATAAAATTAATATGCTATTATGAAAAAATATATGTTTTGCATAGAAATAATGAATGTTAAGTGGAAAAAGAATAATAATATTATTTTTATTGTATTACATAGTTCATTTTATGAAGAAATACAATTTATATGTAAAACAGACATTTATGAAAAACATATGCAATATGTGTAGAAATATATGATTTTTAGTTAACAAAAATTTTATTTAATATAATATGAAAAAGTAATAGGTAATTCTTATAACTTTAAAAAAAGTATGATTTCAAAAAAAAACCATCTTATACATTGGGTACAAAAAATATTGTGTTTTTTTATCAAACAAAAATAAATAATTTTAAAACAATTTTGAAAGGGAATTTATGAATACTGTACCCATATAAAATTTTTATTATGTAAATAAATTATAAAATTTTTGAATTTTTTAAAATATATAAAAAAAAGTTAAGGAAGATTGTATTTTCAAAAAATAAGTAAATTATTTATACAACATAAATAAATAGCTTAATAATGAATATATATCTAATTTATTTAGGTTTGTAAAGTTTTTGTTATATATTTTATATGGAAAAAAAAAAAATTTTAGTTTTTATAAACTTTTATATATTATATTTTGATTTCCATATTGGTAAAACATTATATATCAAATGATTTATTATAATTTTTTTTTATTTGTAAAAATTCAAATAATTTTTATTTAATATTATTTTTGTTAAAAATAATTACTCATACACATTTATTTTATTTTATTTCATTTTTTTGTATTGAAAAATTTAATAAATTTTGTCACAAGCATTTCATAAAAAAATTTTTACTTTTTATTAGTTTAAATTTTATTTTTATAAAATTACTTTGATAAAATTTAAAAAAACATGAATATTATTATTTTAAGATTTTTCTTTTTTTTTTTTTAAATTTGAAAAATTAATATAATATACATTACTTCAAAGTTTCAACATTGTTAATTCTCAAGGAAATATACAATAAAATTTTTTTAAAATAAGAAATTTTATTTAAATAATTGAAGAAGATTCATAAATGAAATGAATTCCTTGATTAATAATTTAAAGGATATAATAAAAGATATTAATTGTTATTTTAAGCGATATTGAATAAAAGAAATTCTATGAAATATTTAAAATTTTATTTTATATATAATTAGAAATAATTATTTTTTTAATAATTATGTATAATTGTTTGCTTTCACAATACTGTATTGAATTAGAAAAGAAATATAAATGAAATAAAAATTGCATAAATAAGACTATTTACAGATATATTATTAAAAATATTTTTGTAATGACTATTTAATAAAAAAAAGAAAAGAAAATTGGTAAAAATAAAATTTTTTTTAGTACATATGAAGTGACATATATATTTATGAATATCCAAATAAGAGTATCACGTTATGTCCAAAATTTTAAACTTACATATTAATTATATATAGGTTAAACTTATTTTATAGTTTTAAATATATAAAACCATCATAAAAACTTAATGATGAAAATAATATTTATAATAAAAGTGAAGCACTATGAATAAAATAAATCTTATAAATCTTGTAATTATAGCAATAAAAACGATAGTATATATTAATAATATTATTTTAATTGCATTTAATAAAATTTAATATTACAAAAAATGAAAATTGAAACTTTTAGAATTCAAATATTTCTTTATAAATTTTTATAGATAACTTTTAATTTTTTTTTAAGGAATTTTTGTTGAAGCACAAGTCTTACTAAAAATTTTAAATAAAAAACGCATATTTAGGAGAGTATAATATCCATTTTATAATTATGACATAATTTTTTTAAAAAATAAAAAATAATAGAAAAGTACTTATATAAATGTTCAAAAATAAAGAACATCTTTAAAATAATCTTAACATTTGTACGTCAAATATCGTTCTTAAGCATATTAAAATATGTTTAAAAGACACCTTATTTAAAAAAGAAAAAATATATATGGAAAGTCATATTTTATTTTTTTTCACTTATTACAAATAACATAATTAAATTTATTTATATAATAAAATTACTAATAATGTAAAATAAAGTGATATGAAATTTTTATTAACAAATAATGAAAAATTAGAATTTTTTCTTCTAAGAAGAAAGCTTACATTAGTATAATAAAATTAAAGTAAATTTTATATAAAATTTTTTTCTCTTTGTTCATTTTTATAGTAATTAGAATTATTAAAGTACTCACTTTACTAATTCATTCTTATGTGATTTATTAATTAGTTGCTTGGTTACTTAAATCATATTTTAAAAAATTAAATTAATAAAGAGCATGTAGAGAATTATCTTCTTTTTTTTTTTTTTTTTACTGTAAACATAATATATATAGTTATATAACTTTTATATATTTATCATAAACTAATTAACACATAGATAATTATAAACCTATTATATAATTACTTATTTACAATAAAATAAACTCATATACACTCGTAGATATTTATGTAAATTCTATATATATTTATTTATTTACTCCAAAATAAGCATATTTAATGTACTCCTCTCAATTTTAGTCATTTTTCTTAATAATTCCTGTTAACAATATAAAAAAATAAAAGTTAAAAAAAAAAAATAATAAACACAAAATTCATTTTTTTTTTTTTATAAAAATTATTATTACTTTTTTTATGAATATCTCATAAATTATATCTTTAATACATTTCAAGGTAAATGCACTATTGACAAGCTACTTTATTATTACTCTCTTATAAATAATCTTGTTAAACATTTCTATAGACATATGATTTCTTCATAAATATCTTTTAATTAACTTGCATATATTAGAAACTCTTTAAAGTAATAATTTTTTATTATATATAATTTAAAAAAGGTCGATGATATAATTTATTGGCAATTATTCAATTATTTTCTTAGTTTTCATCTAAGGAAAAAATGAAAAATTTGAATTTATATATTACCTTTTTTATTTTAAATAATATATGTAATCCATAGGAAATTATGTATAAAAATAAGTTATTAATGAATAACCCACATAATTACAATTTCTCTTTGATAATCCTTTCCTACATATTCTCTACAAGATAAAGAAAACTTGAATGTATGTAAATTTTATTTTATTATTTTTTTTTTTTTTTTTCTAGAACATTGAGTTTCATTTTTATGAAAAACTAATTCATATTTGAAATACATTAAATGTTGTTATTTGTTGAACTTTTTCATACTTAAATTGGTATTAGATTACTAAATATAAGTTTATTATAAGTTTATTTTATTTTATATTTATGAGTAATATTTAAACTATTAAAAAATGAAAACAGTTTTTTAACTATCATATGTATATGATAAAAATAAAGTTATTACACTTAAGGTTAATAAATAGAATTTTAACGTTTCTTTCAATTGTAATAAGGATCAATGAAAAATGTATACAACTCTGTGTATGTAGAAGGCTTATGAGATAAATAAGTAAAATGAAAAGCGTATACTAATAATTAAATAGCATCATAGATATATTTTCAATTTCATTTAGAATAAATATAAAGCACATGTTTAACTTAAGCATCTAAAGGTGTGATAAAACTAGTATCCTAAAAAATACGTACACTACATTACATGTTTTTATATATGATTTATAAATGGTATTATCGACTAATTTAAAATATTATTTAAATAAAGTAAATATATTTTTATCTATGAATGTTAATTATTCGGAAAAATGTGCACATTTAAATGAGTAAAAAAGAAAAATTTTTTTTTTTTTTTTTTTGGAGAAAGTGGCTTGTAATTTAGTAAATAATTTAAAATGTAATATTAAATATTACATTTGTAGAATGTTATGTAAATTAGCTTAATGAATAAATAATAGAATTAATATTCAGTGTTAACTAGAAGAAATAATTTATGTAATATTTTATTTTAAATAAAGCTTTTTTTGCACATGGTTTTTATTAATTTTCCCATTACTGGTAAAGTTATCTATAAGACATTTATTAAATTAGTATTCAAATGATAATTTTTTTTTTTATTTAATAAAAAAAATATATTTCAATATTAGAAAAAAAATTGCTTGATTTTTACATAATATATGTGGTGATATCATCTAAACGTTATGATGTTATATATAATATCAAATAAGTATATAATGATTCATATTTAAAATAAATAATAAATATTTTTTAATTATTAAAAAAATATATAAATATCATAAAAATTTATTTTTAAAATAAAGGATATATTTTGTGTTTAATTCATTATAATATATTTTAAGTAACTAATTATTATTTATAATAATCAATATTATAATATGTAAAATTCAAAAGGACATCTCTAAATGATTTTTATTTATTTGAATATTCAAGTATTAGGATAATCTAAGAATGGTCGATTAATAAATCATGTAGTAAACATGATAAAAGTAATATTACATTATTTTATGAGTACAAAGATATATAAGTATGTGAAATATAAAGTTGACTTAAATAATTATAGCTAATAAAATTATATTTAATACATGCAATCTTTTTCTTTATGAAGATATGAATAATATGCATGATGTGCAATAATTGTAATATAATAGCATATATAAAAAGAAGCAAAGAGTTTGATAAAATTGTGTAAAATTTTAGATGTAATAACAATTTTTTTACTGATTTAAATGATATTAAATGTGATTGTTATTGGGATAATCAAGGGGTGTATCATAATGTTTATTTATTTTATTAAAATAGAAAGTATAATAACCTAAAAGAATTAATGGTACTTATAATGAAAATAAATTAGTAAT